ATAGGATTTTATCTTACGGTTAATTAGAAAAATAGTAGCTTTTTCTCTGCTGAAATTCATGCTGCGTTCCGGCAGGCGTCCGGGCTGTGTCACCGTCCATCTCCTCTTCCTTCTCTCTTCTCCCATCTTTCTTAAATTAACAAGTTATGTCCTTGTCCGACGGAGTTTAGATAAGATAAAGGTCATCTTGCCCTTCTTGACTTTTTTTTTCTTCTGCTGAAGAAGAACTGACCTTGTACATTTTTTCTCTCTAATTAGCACCTGGACACAAGCGGATTTCTAGCTTTTTCGTTGCTGCTCTTAAATAAATCCTATGATATACAACTCTATTCTATTTTCATAATCAAATTTATGACACCCCCAAATACAAAATAAAAGCCAAAAAAGAAAAAGAATGTATAAAGCAATGTAACAAATCAATGTGGTCACTAGATGGCAAAGAATCATGGACTTTTACATGATGACTATAAAGAAAGGCATTTGAAATGTAGATTTGTCACAGAATGTTAACATTTCCTTGGATTGGAAGGGTTACCAATGAAGAAGTTCCAAAGGGAATGAACAAAGACAAAAAAAATCCTAAAATACGTAACATATGGAAGACTAAGTTACTTTTGATCATGTAATAGGAAACAAACACCATATCCTATCTGGAAAATAAGAGTAATTGCATAAGCATTTTCCTGCTCTAGCAGGCCCTCTGCTGTGCAACTGATCACCGACCAGTTGTGTGACCCATCTCACCATCAGCATGAAACTGGGCATGCAGAGGAGAGCCTGCTGGGAGGGGTATATTTAAGTGATTGCCCTTCTGTGTAAGTACAGAATCATTACAGCTGTTAATGAAAAGTATAATAAATGGGCAAGGAAATGCAGGAAAGCAAAGAACATCTTGACTGAATGAATTGCTTGGTGGACTATAATGAGTTACAGAACAAATTATTTTTTAAAAGGAACTTTCTAAGCTCTGAGAAAGCCCCCTTTGGTGCAAACTCCGAGAGCCTACATATAGATATTGCGAGTACTTCTCATATCTATACAGTATTTGTAGAAATGGCTTTCATGTAAACCAGCCTCCTGACCTTGGATCCACAGATGTTGTTAGCCTATAGGTTTCATCATCCCAGATTATTGTTCATGCTCGCTGGAGAGGACAAGTGATGCAATAGTCTAACATCATCTTGGGTGAGCCAATGCTGGGAAAGACTGTCTTAAATGTTAAACTTTCAGGTACAGGTTCCAAGACAGAGCCTGCTACTGTTGTATTTCAATAACTCAGGAGGAAAGGAATATGTGCCAAGAGCATGAATTGTAGCTCATACGTTGTGAAGGGAAGTGCAACTGACTACACTGGGAAAGAGGAATGAATTGAACCTCTTTTCCAGAATGCAGACTTTTCCTCCTTTAGGTGAACAGCGTACACCTTGAGGGATGAAGAATATGTGAATAGGTTTATTGAAAAAAAGTTTTTTTTTTTAAAAAAAATGTTTTTTAAAATGTTTTCATTATTTCCAGGTTAGGGGAAAATAAATCAGGAAAGTTATGTCTGAAGTGACATGAACAGTTAATAAGAAATGTTTCTCTATTGTGTTCACACGTGCATTGTTCACTCAATTTATCAGATGGTAACAATCACGCATTTTGAACCAGTCTTTAGTTAATGATTTGAACGAGTGACACTCGAGACGTCTGCATTGTAAACCATGCAGAGAGTGCTTTAGCACTATGAGGCAGTACATGAATTGAAACAATAACAACAACTTACCTGTAAATAATACTGTTTACCGAGTAGGTCATACCATCAAATGAATTTGCCACCACCAAAAAGTTATCTTGTCCTACAGAAAAGAACTCCCAATCTAGAGCACTGCAGCAGAAACCAACCAAAAGAGAGAGATTGTATCAGTCCCAGAATACCTAGTAAATATATCATTTTTCCTCTTAATATTTAGAACAAAATAATGAGATATTTTAAAAGTATATATCATTTTTCAAAATCACAATTCCAGAAAAATGAGTATTCCTGTTTTATCATATGTTTGTACCAGCAATAACAATTTTGGGAAATAGTCCAGAATGCACTCTTAGAATCTGAAAAAGAGTCAAAACAATCCGGAACATTTGGACAAACTGTATTCCTCCCTCCCTCCACTAGAATGACACTATGTTGGTGGTGGTTTGAGCAATGTACAAAACAGGACACCTGTAGGTAAGAATGTCTTGAAACTTGACAAACAGCTGTGCAGTGATGTTGAGCTCATAGATGGAAGAATTGATAGTGTGGTAGCTGTTTGGGGCAACAGATCTGCTATCGTAACTATGGCTATTTGCTACAGCGAGGAAAACTCTGTCTCTGATGTGGAAGACCTCCCAGTCAGCAGCACCAAAAGTCTAGGCAAAAAGAGAAACATTTCAGAAAAAGAGCAGCAACCATGAACATATCCCAAAACATATCCCCAAATCAATTTTAATTGAGAACACATGGATGCATGTGTATTTTTTAAAAAATAAAACCACAAACCTATCTGTGTATTCAACAGTTGTGTTCCCCTGGAAATATTGCTAGGAAAATATCTGGCAAATGGTTCTTTCAGTGAAAAAATAATGATGATGATGCCTCAGCCTGCCATTCCCAAATAACCTATATATTGTGTGGATGTTTAGTAAACAAAAGTTCTACAATACCCAATTAGCAACTAATCAACATTAGAAATGGATGTATCTCAGGGTCAAGTCACAAGTGAAGAGAAATTACTGAATTTTCTTTCCAGGCACACAGTTCCTTCAAAGCACTACAGCATGAACAATCTGACTTGCAAAAGATGCCTTGTTTACCTTTCAATGACCAACACAAAACAATAACTTAAACTGCACAATTCTGAATGAGGCAAGCTCATGCTAAAATAAGCAACCATCTTTTATCATTTTGGAAATACAGTATGTGTTTCTAATTATGTGATAACTTGGTTCTTGTTTCACACTTAAATATTAGTACACATTCCACATGAGCAAATATAGATTAAGCAATACCCATAGTTTGCACACAAATAGATTTATATAGTATTTGCTGAACATGCACACTGGGGTTATTTCAGAGACGCTGGGATGGCATTCCAATTGAACTATTTAAAATCTTAAAAGAGGACGTTGTTAAGGTGCTACACTCAATATGCCAGCAAGTTTGTAGCCTGTGCAATGTGTAGCCTGTATAATTAAAAATTGTAAACCGCCCGGAGAGTGCTTGTAGCGCTATGGGGCGGTATATAAGTCCAATAAAATAAATAAATAAATAAATAAATAAGTTTGGAAAACTCAGCAGTAGCCAGAGGATTGGAAAAGATCAGTCTACATCCCAATCCCAAAAAAGGGCAGTGCCAAAGAAGGCTCCAACAACCGTACAATTGCACTCATTTCACATGCTAGCAAGGTTATGCTCAAAATCCTCCAAGGTAGGCTTCAGCAGTATGTGGACCGAGAACTCC